AACGTTTTTAATCTCGTAGCACACTTGAACCTATAATTAAACCTCTGCAGCATACTTAAATCACGTTGATCAAAAAAAAAAAAAAAAAAGAGTAAAGAGGGACTCACATTTGACGTGGCTGGACTGAGACCCAGATAGGAGAATTTTTTAAAAGGTTCACAGTGGTTCTCAGCCAGGGATGGATATTGGAATCATCTGGGGACCTCTGATGACAGCTGATGCTCCACCTAGGCCCACCCCAGAGATTGTTATTAGTTGGGGATGGTGCCACCAGAACTGATGCTTAACTATAATAATGGAGTCATTACTTGTGGCATCTTGATTCAAGAACCATCTCTCAACAAAGTTTCCTTTAAACAAAGCTCAGAGAGGACACAGGCCTAAGTGGAAGATTAAGTGGCCATATGGGAGTCACCATGACATGGTCTCCTCAGACAGAGTCTTCATGAGCCCTCAGCGGGGAGACTACCTTTCTCTGGAAGGGAAAAAGAAGATACAATCTCAAGCAGGGAAAGCTGTGGAAGAGAATTAATTGCATACAGAAAGAAAAGGAGCTGTGGTAGCGTCTAAGCAGCTTTCCCGATATGGCCTCTGCAGTCCATTCACTTCATTAAACGAGATAGCTTGGGTGGCCACATACACCGAGGCTGGTGGGTTCGAGCCCAGCCCCGGGCAGACTGAACACAACAATGACAACAGCAACCACAAAAAAGTAGCTGGTCCCAGCTACTTGGGAGGCTGAGGCAAGAGAATCGCTTAAGCCCAAGAGTTTGAGGTTGCTGTGAGCTGTGATGCCACAGCACTCTACCAGGGCAACAGCTTGAGACACTGTCTCAAAAAAATATATATGAATAAATAAATAAATAATAAAAGAGATAGCTTCGCCTCACTTTTTCTCATCCTGGGAATTCTGAACAAATGAGCCTTGGCTGCTCTCTTCTGATTATAACTATGGGAGTATGCTATAGTAGGTGACATCATCCACAGGGGGCGGGTAGAGTGGAGGAAATATTGACATCCTCCTTTGACTCTATCTGAACCAGCTGTTGATCTGAAGTTCTACAGACTTAACATTTTGGAGTGTGCAGGAGATGCACACCATGTTAAGAGACCCTGCATCTTCATCTTCTTGCTAGCAAATGAAGTTATTCCAAATCCAAGAAGACACTTTCTGAGCATGGCAGTCAGTCATCGCTCACTCTTTAGTTATTGTATGTATTTTTGATGAGTAAACAAGAAAACATTTTTCATGTGTTTCACTTCAACTGGTACGTTTTAATTAATACCTTATACTTTTTAAATTTTCATGTAGTTTATTAATTGTCCTTATTTACTAACTTCAACTTGCTTATGACGATAACATATAGATAATAGATTTAAGTAAAAAATAGGGATAAGAAGAAATAAACTACTATTTTTCGAATGTCTATTATGTGTTAGCTACTGAGCTACCTTTTTTTGAACATGAGAATGATTCATATTTGAGACAGGACAATTGAAGCTATTTTATTTTATTTTATTTTTTAATTAATTTTTATTAAACCATAACTTTGTACATTGGTGCATTTATGTGAAGCTATTTTATACAGAAGATTCTCTCTCACACACACACACACAATCTTCTATACATTATTTACACACACCTTTGAAACGTCTTCATATGAACTAGTACATAGCCCATAAACCCGAGAATCCTAAAATATCTTTGTTACCAATTTATTGTTTCATGGTGTTTTCTTCCTAAACTTTAGCCTCAATCCCTATTCCTATAGCTTTAAGTCACCTCTGAATTTGTTCTGAATACAGAGGCACACTGCTTCTTCATTCAAGGGAGAAAAGATATACATTTTTTTTTTTACAATGTTACATGACAAATAACTTCAGTCAATTCTTTGCTTGGTGCTCAAAGCTATTATGACAGCTACCGATGTTTTAACCAGTTAATTGGCTAGGAATATTGTCTTCCTTTTTGTCTTTCATCTTGGTAGGTCTTAGTATGTTGACCAAACTTTGAAAGTTAAAATTATCACTTTGGTTTTCCATTTCTTTTTTTTTGGCCGGGGCTGCGTTTGAACCTGCCATGTCTGGCATATGGGGCCGGTGCCTTACTCCTTTGAGCCACAGGCGCCGCCCAGTTTTTCGTTTCTAATTCAATCTGTTAACCAATAAAACTTTACTTTAAAAAAAAAGAGTAAAAATAATATATTTACTATGCTTTGAACTTCTTTTCAAAAATAATTTAATTAAGGAATTTAAAATTTTTTCATGGTACCCCAGTGTGCCACAGCTCACTGGTTAAAAATCACTGGTCTGGAAAGGGACATTTCCTCTCTCCGTGTCCTTGCCATTTGGCGTCTGGGAGGTTGCACCTCTGCCGATCTCTGTGAGGACTCACAATGCTGACTTTAGTGTGAAGGATTTGGAGAGAGACCCAGTTTTGGTTTGCTCAAGTAAGATCAGGGTCTGAGCTTTCTGTCCAAGCCAACAACTGACTTTTCCCAGTGCAGTGCTAACGCGTTCACATTTCTGATTTCTCAAAGACTCATTCATTCATGTAATAAGTATCTACTGAATGCCTTCTAAATGCTCAGGAGATCTGTGATTCTTTCAAACTTGCTACTGGCACAGTCATATAGCAAGTGGGGCTGATAGGTGCTTCTCTGTTATGACACCTCAAAAGTTAGCCTCCAGCTTTCATCCCCATTTCATGCAAAGACTTTATTCCTGCGATGGGGTGATGGGGTCAGGTTCACTGCTGCATCTTGGAATTGAGGAAACCAGAGATCTTCCTCCAATATGACAGCTTGGTGGTGGTGAAAGCCTGGTTCTAGCTTCAGAGGTTCAAGGCATTGTTGTGCCCAGGAGTTCCACAAAGACCATACTGCTGAACAAGTTAAATTTAAAGGAGTCCTTTTATTGAAGAGCTGGCTGGTGACTGCCTCCGTGTCCCAAATGGGGTTTCTGAGAGCAGCCCCAAGTGCTTAAGGGGTCAGGTTTTTAAGGCTTAGTCTGTATCCTGGTTGGCACACAGGCTGTCCAGGTGTATCCAGGTAAGGTAGCAAGCAAGCATTGTACAGAAGCAGAATTTTGTGGTTAGTTAGTCATGCATTTTTGTTTTCATATTTTCCCCTGTACATCTTAGTTTCAGTACTTTCCCCCTATACATCTTAGTTTCAGTACTTTCCCCACCTGGTATTGTTTAAAAGTCAGTCCAGGAACAATTGGTACCTCCCGGTCTGTTTCCCAGGGAGTAAGCCAAGCAAGAAATTTGGAGTGAAACAAGAAATTAATTAGTACTTTCCCATCCCATCACTTGGGAGTGAACTAGACTTCTTTCTTTTTCTTCTTCTTCTTCTCCTTTTTTTTTTTTTTTTTTTTTTTTTTTTTTTTTTTTTTGTTGAAAGCTTACAGTCCGGAAATTTGCCAGGAATTAACTGGTATTTTTCCATTATAGCCTAGGCCTGGCACCTTTCTGTCTGAGCCTCAGCCCTCTAGGCCTAACAGCATGGCCTGGACATGGACATCTACTAGCTAGGCAATCTCTGGCAAGTCACCAAGACCCAGTGCCTCATCCATAAAATAGGGGAGTAAATACCTGACCTCTAGGACAGATGAGGGGGCCCAGTGGGACCTCACATGTGAAAGTGCTGGGAAGGGCAAACGGGTTTAGTTCTGGGCCCGCCTCTGCCACTCCCTGCTCTGAGCTTCAGGCCTTCAGGCTTAGGCCCCTTGCTGACTAAACTTTCACAGTAGCTCTGAGAAGGGAGGATTCTCGTCCCCTCTTTATAGGGAATTGGTGTTGACCAGCCAATGACAGCTGCGATGGGACTCAGGTCTGTCTGGCTCCAAAGCCTGAAAAACTCTGCAGATGTCAGATTTACCCTTCTGCCCTCCTCCCGCCCTCTGCCTAGGCAGCTGTACCTGGCAGAGCTTCTGCCTGGGCTCCTCTGCCCTCTTCCCTCCCTCTGCCTAGACAGCTATAACAGGCAGAGCTTCTGCCTGGGCTCCTCTGCCCTCTTCCCTCCCTCTGCCTAGATAGCTCTAATAGGCAGAGCTTCTGCCTGGGCTCCCTAAGCAGGCTGGCCACTGTGATTCCCAGTGGACAGTGACCCTCCTGATAACTCCTTACTCTGGATTCTCAGAGCTCAGAGAGGAAATGGGGTGTTTGCTGAGAGGGGGTGAGGGATTAAAGGGACAATGGCTCAGTGGGGAAAAAAGGGTTCTCCACAGGGCTCATGATGGGACAGAAGTTCTGTGAGGGGAACAAGGGCTTGGCAGGAGAAGGGGCTCAGATTGAAAATGGAGGTACTGGCAGGGTGCAGTGACTCATTACCATAATCCTAGCACTCTAGGAGGTGTAGGCAGGAGGATCCCTTGAGCTCAGGAGCTCAGCCTGAGCAAGAGTGAAACCCCATCTCTACTAAAAATAGGGGGAAAGGAAAAGAAAAGGAAATGGAGTGCAGTGAGCAGATTGAAGGATCAGGGCTGAATAACCCTGGGGCTTGGGGTGGCCCATCGGCATCCCCTGGGGCCCACCTCTCCACTGCTCACAGAGCAGGAGGAAATAGCCAAGGGAAAGGCCGAGAAGGGAACACAGAGTCGGAGCCACAGGGAGGCGGGTGCAGCTTCCTCCCAGTGGGAGGCTGGACTGAAACCAAGCCAACCTCCTATATATCTCTGGAGCCAGGGCAGAGAGACAGAAGCAGCAAGTTACCAGAGAGACAGACACTTGGAGTTTGGGGCTGACTTGGAGCAGGACTCCCTAGCCCAAACCTGGACGAGGGTGCTGTCCAGTGTGACCCAGTGCCTGGAGTTTGTGCCTTTGCACACCCCTGCTGTGGCTGACCAGCTGCTGCCTCCAGGAGCCCCTGGGAGGCCCGCACCTTTTGCCCTGCTGAGTTTCCTTTGCCCTGCTGAACTTCAGGGCCTGAGATTTAATTAGGTGCTGGGACTCCCGGCGGCCCAGCAGGCGTGGGACCCAGGGTAGGTAAGTTTGGATGGAGTAAGGAAGGGGCATCTGGAGGGAATCTGGGGCCCCATTCCTAGAGGGAATAGCAAGACTATAAAGCCGAAGTGGGTGTACAGGGGTGGGACAGGGTCTAACAGCAATCTGCAGAGAGCCAGGCATGTGGCTGGAGCCACGTGTAGGTGTGTTGAAAGAGTGAATGATCGGAGGAGTGGAAAGGGCCAAACCTCCCTGATGGGTCAGAGATATAGAGAACAAGAGAAAGACAGGCCCCCAACCATCACCAAGCCCTGTTTCCACTCTCCGAGGGAGACAGAGCAGAACAGAGAGAGAGAAAGAAGTGTAGTAAGAGACAAAGTGCAGTGACAGGTCTCAGATAGAGCTGGAGAGAGGGATGGAGCCACAGATAAAGACAAATTTCAACAGGTGTCAGCAGGAGAATGCAGGGGAAAGGGGGGGAGCAACTCTGAAGCGACAAGAAGCAGGAGTGAGAATGAGAATCAGAAGGGGCAGGCCAGGGAGGAGCAGACACAGACCCGCAGACAGTGTTAGAAGGAGCCGCACAGGAGAGAAGGGGCTTCAGAGAGGCCGGCAGAGACCTACAAGGGCTGGCTGTGGGGTGGTGAGGAAGCCAGAGGGGAGATGTCTTGAAGCCCAGGTTGAAGGGTGACAAGGAAGCGCCATGTGTCGGGGCAGTGTTTCTGGGACAAAAGCCTGGCTGGAGGTGGGTGTTGGAAGAAATGAAGAGTCTTTAGATAGGGAGGAACTGGGCTGGATGCCCTGCAGCACTCACCTCTGGCCTCCCTCCCACTATCTGTCCTGCCCTCCCTGTGTTGGCCTCACCCACTCAAGCAAGGCTGGGCTTGCATGTGGGTGCTGGGGAGCAAGGGCTTCTTAGAGTACTAAGGTTGGCTGGGCTGCAGCCACAGGGACTCCAGGAGGATGCAGCCACAGCTTGGGTACTGTGCTATGGCAGGAAGGGTGGGGTGGAAGCTTTCTCTCAGGGGACCTGACAGGACAGATGAGAATAAGGTCAGATTTGGGTTGGGTTGGTTTGAGGTAGGTGAGATGAAAGGGCCATGAACAAAGCAAATTCCCAGTCAGCCTTGGCTTGCTATTGGATAGGAGGGTTGGGTGGGAAGCAGCTAGAAACTATGGATGTACTGCTTCTGTCCCCCAGCTCCCACTACCTCTCACGACTATTTTTCTTGGCCCTAAGGGGCCAACCTCCGGACTATTCTCTACTATCCCCCTAACCTCCCACACATATGGGACACTGACCTCAAAATCTGTACCTGGGACTACCAGAAGCCACTCTACTCTAGCCTTGCTTCCTAGCCCCAACCTGGGCTGTGGCCAGGCTCATGAGGCATTGAGGGATGTGGGAACACAGGGAGGGGCAGGATATGGAGCCTGGAGTCTGTGGCCTGGAAGAGTCCCAGACCCAGCCCATCAAAGGAGAGGGGACAATTGTCCCAGCCAGGGGCAGACACCAGAGAAGAGTGAGGATCAGATCTGGCTCTAGCAGAGCCCCTCCACCAACCCTGCATGTGCCCTTAGGCAACAGGCAGAGCATCCCTGTCTATGCGAGGACAGGCCATTTGCACAGTGGGATTCAGAGACGCCACTTTCCCACCTCTGCACCTTTGCTCAGGAAGGCCCAGCCCTCATCCCACTCTGGTGAAATTTGCATTGTTCTCCAACTCTTCCAAATGCCACCTCCTTCAGGAAGCCCTCCTGATTCTCCTAGCTGGAGGTAAGCTCTCCTGCTAGCTCCCATATGCTGTTTGACCCTCTATTGTGGTTCATCCTTCCTTGTTTCCAGTGTTCTTGCTGTTGCTGCCTCCCACTCTTCTGCATCCACATGTGAGCCATTCTAGGGCACATAGGAGGGGCAAGGGAAAGAACCTGGGGTTCAGATCCCAGCTCTGCATCACTAGCTTTATGAGAATTCAGGGAAACATACTCACCCTTTTTAGTAGGTGAGGAAACAGATGGTCACAGAGGGCAAGTGACTAGCCCAAGGTCACCTAACAAGTAAGCAGCAGAGTGGAGGCCAGAACCCAGGTCTGCCTGATGCCAAAGCTCTTTCCTCTCTGTGCCATTGTCTTTAGGCTTTCTCTTCCCTTTCACAGACCCCACACAGGATGAGCATTCCAGGGGAGGAGAGAGCATTGCAAATGCTTGGAGAAGTGATTGTACCTGGCAATGTGTATGTGAGGACAGTGAGCTGCTGGTGCAGTTGGAGCAGGGGGTTACCAGGGAATGTCATGGGAAATTAAGCCAAAGAAGTTGGTGGGGTCCAAGCTCAAGGATCTTATAGGACAGGTTAGGCATATGGACTTTCTGTCAGAGGCAATGGGGGGGGGCAGTGGCTATGCTTTGGTGGCCTAGAGAATTTGTGTCCCAGAAATATCCGTAATAGCTCTGCTCATGCATGTAGCACTCTTTTGAGTACAAAATACTGTGATCTGCATTTTATAAGTGAGGAAACTAAGGCGCAGAGGAGTCCAGTTACGACTCAAGACCATGCAGCTAGTCAGCACAGAGCCAGAGCTCAAACTCAAGCCCAACACTCCAGTAAGGGCCTTTTCTTGCCTTCCCTTGTCCTTGTTTCCTAACAAGTCTGTACTGAAGACTCTAATGTGTCCAGCTTGTGCCTGGTGAACACAGGCTAGAGGGGGCTGGATCTGTAAGGAACATGCCCTAGTCCCTCTCTAAACCCTTGGGTCTCTGGTGCCAAAACAGCTTTAAGACAATTATCTGGATTCTCTGGTGTTTGGAGGACTGGAGATTAATAGTATGGAATGAGATGGGACAATATGGACCTCTTGAAGGGCCAGTTTAAGCCCAGGGAGGGGAAGGGAAGGCAGCATGGCCTTGGGCCAATAGCTGTGTATCACTAAGCCTCAAGCTCCTGGTTTTAGGCCTAAGGAGACTGGTCTGAGCCCCCCCCCAATAGGCTCAGTGCTCATCCCCCCACCCCCAGACTGTAGTCACTGTTTTTAAGGTCATCCTGGATCTAGCCAGGGCCAGAACTGGGAACAGAAAGTCCCAGCATGGAGTTCCTAACCCAGCTTGGAAATTACCAGAAACTGCCTGGCCCTTTCCCCGACCCTGCCACATCTTCCTCAAGAAGCAACAGCTGGAAGGCCCACAACAGCTGGACCTCAAACATACTATTGTCCTCTCAATAGACCACCCAAGGGTCCTGCTAGAAGGAGTTTCCCTAAAATGACAGCCAAGGTCAAAGCCTGGAGACTCCCTGCTGCCCCCTGCTGGGCTAGGTTGACCAGCGAGCTGAAATGCTCAGGGCCCCACATAGCCCCCATCCCACCAAGGCCCACCGTGGCCACCACCCTCCCACAGCCCTACCCCCAGCCTTCTCTTCTCCCTCATTCAGTTTAGCTCCACTCAGTAATCACGTTCTCAAGCTGGGCCAGGCCTTGAAAGATAAGTGGTTTGCTGGGGAGGAATGACACTCCAAGCTGAGAGTACAGCATGTGCAAAGGCTTAGAGGTGGAAAAGAACAGGATGAATCTGGGGAATAGCAAGAATTTGTAGAAGCCAGAGAATACTGTTCACCAGGGGTGGGCGTCCTTTGCAGATGAGGCCAGGAGCAGGCAGTGGAGGTGGGACAAACCATTGTTGAGGCCCCAGTGTACCAAGCAAAGGCTGTTTCCCTCTAATCCTATCCAACATGCTGTGAGGCACTATTCTTTCATTTACAGAAAAGGAAATTAAGGCTTAACGAAGCTAAATCAGCTGCCAAGGTCGCACAGATACAACATTGGCAAAACAAATATTTGAATCCAAAGTCTTTTGACACAGAGGGTTTCAGCAGGGACTTAACACGTTCCATCAGGACAAGAGGCCAGTATGACCTCTGCCCTGGGGGAGTTTACTATCTAATAGGGCTGAATTAGAGACACACAGATAATGCAAGAGAGAGATCAGCTGTGCTATAGCCTAGAGAAGGGCTGAGGGAATCGGCCTGGGAGGGGTTTCTATAGAAGGAAAGATGGTTGATTTGGGCTGCAGGACCAAGGATCAGCAGGCTGAGGGCACAAGGGAAACCCAGTAGGAGGGGTGTGCAGCAGGAGCTAGCTGCACTGGGGCTGGTGCCTCTCACCCCGACACCTCTGGAGGTGTCTGATATCATCTAGTGGGATGGAGTGCTCAACATCTGCAGCGGGGAATATTTCCCTTCCCAGGCTTAAGCAGCAGACATGTTAGTGCTGGATGCTGGCTTTTCCAGTGGGTTGCCTGGAACCCAACCTTTTGTGCCTCTCTCCTCAGTTGGGGCACAGGGTGGGGACTTACTCTTGCTGGGCAACTTTGGCCACTTGCAGTTTCTGTGATCTTTCTACACATGCCTCCCAGACTCACAGAGCTCCATCTCTAGCACCTTTCCTCTCTCCTAGAGCCCATGGCCTCCTAGGCATTGCTCCCTGGGGGCCTCTCAGCCATCCGAACCTCACCATACCCAATGTCGAATTCACACCATCCTATGATCCTGGATTTTTATAATTGTATACCCGTGCCCTGGCATGGTGGCTCATGCCTATAATTCCAGCATTTTGGGAGGCCAAGATAGGAGAATTGCTTTTGGACAGGAGTTCAAGAATACCCTGGTCAAGACAGTGAGACCCTGTGTCTACAATCAAGTAAAATTTGGGTGGGCATCCTGGTAGGTACTTGTAGTCCCAGCTACTCAGGAGGCTGAGGCAGGAGGATCACTTGAATCCAGGAGCTTGAGGCTGTACCACTGTACTCCAACCTGGATGACAGAGAGGGACCTTATCTCTAAAACAAAACAAAAATAAATAAGTATATAAACAAATATATATATTTGGTGCACCCAGAGGGAAAGCTGTGCTTCTATGCCTCAAATTTGATGACCATGACCTGCAACCACACCCAAGCAGCCTTCAGCAAGTAAATTCATTGTGGTGGGGTTATAAAAGGTTGATTTTACACCTTTCAGGGAGACAGAAATTACAGGTAAAGTCATAAATCTATACATGGAAGGACAGAAGACATATGTACATTGGTTTGGCCTGAAAAGGTGGGACATCCCCAAGGTGGGGGAGACTTACAGGTTATAGGTGGATTTAAAGACTCTTCAGTTGACAATCAGCTGAAAGTTGGGCTTTTGTCTAATAGACCAGGAGTCAGAGAAAAGGAACACTTGAGTTAAAGACTAGGGTCTGTGAATCGGAGACAAACTCTCTGACTTAAGGCCAGAGTCAAGTGGTTTGTAATGTTTATTGAAATCCAGCAGGTAGGTGTTGTATAGCCTTTGGCCTGTTACTGAGTCTCAAAGGATGTGTCTAAGAAGGGGGGGGCACCAATGGGTAGGGCACCGGTGCCTGTGGCTCAGTGAGTAGGGCACCAACCCCATATACTGAGGGTGGCGGGTTCAAACCCGGCCCCAGCCAGCTAAAACAGCAGTGACAACTACAACAAAAAATAGCTGAGTGTTGTAGCTGGCACCTATAGTCCCAGCTACTCAGGAGGTTGAGGCAAAAGAATCGCCTAAGCCAAGAGTTGGAGGTTGCTGTGAGCTGTGATGCTATGGCACTCTACCAAGGGTGATATAGTGAGACTCTGTCTCAAAAAAAATACCCAAAAAGCCAAAAAAAGGAAGGGATGGGGGCTTGATGGGTTCTGTCTGATCTCCTTTCTTGTAGTTAACAACTCAGTTTTAGGGAATCCCCAGGGCCAAGGGGAGGTCCAGTCAGTCAGCCTCCGGGAGGAACCTTAAGATTTAATTTTAGTTCCCAATCCCCACAGCTGATTTTCTGCCTGGCCCTGGGGACCCCTCTCCCTACTCATGACTCTACATCCCCAATGCCACTACCTAGCCAGCCCCACTACCATTCTCTCCCCTGGACCTCACTCCTGCTTTCTTCCCAGCCTCTGCTGCCAGCCTGGCTTCTCCACTCTCCCCTACAGTCATGTTGTTCTTCCCAGAGGCCATATATGACCTCCTCCAAGGCCTGGGGACAAAGCCTGAACTTCAGGCTTGTATTTAAGCCTGGTCCCTCCACCTTCCCCAGCCTCACCTCCTACCTCCATCTTAGTGCTCCAACCTTGTCAAACTATTGTCCCTGAACAATCTTTCACTTTCACTTTCATATTTATGTCCTTTTCTTGGATTTTTCTTCAGGATAGCCTTCCAGAATGTTCCAGTTTAGCCTAGGGCTTTTCTGCTGCATTTGCAGTCTTCACACTCCCTGTATCACAGCGCTGAGCACCAATGATGGTGATTCTGTGCTCAGAGTCAGCTGCAGCCTCCCATACAGGGCAGGGCCTGGGGCTGCTTGCTTCTGAGTGTCCAGTGGATTGGCTCCAAGAGCTGTCACAGTGTGTGGAATGAATCTTCATTCTTATGGCCGCAGTGACCCTGAGCAAGTCCTGGCACCCTCTGTCCCTATTTCCTCACCCCTTAAAGTGGCTAAATCACCCTGCTTTCCTGTGCAGTGGACTCTCCAAGCTCAGTGTCACTGGGGATCATGGATGGGTAGGCCCACAGGCAGGTGAAGGCTCATGAGGAGGGCTGGGCTGGGCTGTCACGCCAGCGAGGCTCCAACAGGATAAACGGCCATGTGCAAGCCCGGTTCCTTGGACCAGCTGAGTCCTGCCATGTGGGAATGTGGGCTCGGTGGTGTCAGATCTGCTGATCTTTCAAGAAAAACAACAACAACAAAAACCCCCCAAAATCTGGAGTTATATAAAATTTCTTGATTTTTA